TCATCGGCCGATAGATCTACTATCGGCCACTCTCCAAGTAATTCTCCTAAATCATTCGAAAATGGGGCCTGTTCCTGAAACGGTCCTATCACCGCCACTGGTCGCTCCACTTCCAAGGCTACGGGTTGCTCTACTCTCGTCGTTCCACTCATTGTTTGTAAACCCCCAGCTCCCGTTACTGCTGGTAACGCCATCCGGACGGAATAGGTCCCTTGAATTTGCCTACCATTATTCCTATCATTTCTTCACCGTACCACATTTCTTCTATAATTCCATCCCGTATAACCATGGCGGGGCCCTCCAGGGCATCGAACTTGCAAGTGACCTCGGGCTCCACAGATAAAGCATAATCTAACATTCCTTATTGTACGCCTGCCCGAATTACTGGGTTCGGGTAATTCGGACTCCCGTCCCCTTCCGTTGATCATTTCAAATGGCGCTATTGTCTTCTTCGCGGGGATCTGGGAATGGGTCTCGATTCGTGGTACAAACGATTTCCCTCTGCATCTACCCTGCCCTGGAATATACTAATTCGAATAGTGATATTCTTCCAATATATACATTCATGAATACCCGTCATTCTAATAAAAAAAAAAGTTATAATAAAAAAAATATTGATAATGTACTTTCGTCCTTTTTTTTTACAATTTTTATAATTACAAAAACAAAATTCTCTTTAAAACTAAAATTTATGGAAAATAATTAATAATTTCTTTTATGAGCGAATTTAAAAAATTATAAAAATTTGGATACTCCTTCTTATTTTATTCTTTCCTATAACATTCTTCAAAAACATCTTTATCTGTTCTTTTCTCCAACTGTCATCACCCCTCTATTTTCTCTCCAAAAAGTTACAATCTTGTACCAATTTCTATTCATTTCCATGATTTATTAACTTTCTCTCTTACCAATTTGTTTGACAATTTAATTTTGGACACCACCAAATTACATTTTTTAAATATCATAAGTTATATAATTTATGATGGTTAATGAGCCAATAATGCTTCTCTTTAAAAAAAAATGCGCGAGGGAAACAGAAAAATTTTTATCAATATAATTGGAACATTATTACACTACTACTTTAAGATACATATTATCCCAACATGAGATTTTCAACAATTTTATATATTATATCAATGAATCTATGATTAATTTGGATATACTAATTTCGTTATATTAAAAAAAACGTTACATATATATATTTCACTGATTATTACAAATATATTTCCTTTCAATCCCATATAATTCTCATGGGATTTCCAACAATTTTTTATGTTATATCCATGAATCTATGATTAATTTTTGGATAAATTAAGAATTTTTAAACAATGTTAAACATTATATCAACGAATCTATGATTAATTTGGATATACTAATTTCGATATATTTAAAAAAAAACATAACATATATATATATATTTATTTCATGGTATTGTTACATAGACACATACATTTCCTTTTAATTTCATATAATATGTCATATAATATCATTCTGCTCCAAACACCTGATCGTAATCTTTTTTGCTTCAAACACCTGACCGTAATCTTCCTGGCTCCAGTCCCCTTTTTAGTTGGTCCCGATGCCTTATTCCTTCTCTTTCTTCAGAGAATTTTACTCGACTTAATTTATTTCCAATGTTTTCTACAATCACCCCTGACTCCCACCTTCTTGTACCTCCATATATTCTTGCCCACACGGTTTGTCCCACCATAAATTCAGGTTTCTCCGTTATCTCTCTCTCCACCTCTTGATGTAGTTTTGGTTTTAATAAATCCAATAATATTCTGGTTCGCCGCCCTAAAAACTTCTCTGCTGGAGACTGTTCTTCTCCCTTTCGACTGTTGTTATAATAGGCTACGGCTATCCAAATTTCCCCACCTCCATACTTTGATTTTCTTAACCAGCTCTTAACAAGTGCTACCATTCTTTCTGCCTGGCCGTTCGAGCTTGGATGGTATGGCGGCCTTAAAACGTGCTTCGCCCCTGTTTCCTCACAAAATAACTTGAATTGACCACTTATGAAGGCCGAACCCCCATCCGAAACTATTATATTAGGTACTCCAAACCGGGCCCAAAGTTTTTTTTAACATTTTTATCACGACTTGGGTTGTCAATCCCCTCACTTCTTCGTACTCTACCCATTTGGAAAAAGCATCAACCACTAGAAGATACATCTTGTTTTCAAAGTCGAGAAAATCTAAATGGATTCTCTCCCAAGGTCGTACCACTTTCGGCCATACGCTCCTTTTGTCTTTACGAGGCATACTGGCCCATGAATTACACATCAAACAACCTCGGCAAATATTTTCAATTTCCTTATTCATGCCAGGCCACCACACATACTCACGCCCCCATTGTTTCATTCGCTCAATCCCTTGATGTCCAGCGTGTATCATAGATAACACTGCGCCTCTCAATTTCATTGGTACTACTCCTCGGTTTCCTCGGACCAGACATTCATCTACTATGGCCAGCTCTTTTTCTATGCACTTAAAATGTTTATCTCCCTCTCTCCACGGTCTCTTTCCCCTAACGCTCCTTTTAATTCTCATTAGTTCGCGATCTTTCACGGTGATTCTTTTTAGTTCCTCCCAAGTCACGGGACCACCTCTAGCTATCTTCGCTATCGCTCGAATTAGTCCCTTTTCTTTCTTTTCTTCCACTTCTTCGGATCCTATTTCGCTTTCATCTTCTCCCGCCCCACATCGAGACAAAATATCAGGTAAATAGTTTTCCCTTCCCCGCCTATATTTCACCTGCACATCAATACTGCCAACCAGTAATAACCATCTTTGAATACGAGGAGACAACATCAGCTCCTTATTATCCTTTTTGAAAAGATGGACTAAAGGTTTGTGATTTGTGTAGATTATAAATCTGCGTCCAATTAAGTATTCCCGGCACTTGGTCAATGCAAAAATAACCGCCAAGGCCTCCTGTTCGATTACTGAATACCTTGTCTCTGCTGCTTTAAAAATTATCGAGAAAAACAAAATAGGTCTCTCCAGTTCGTCTATGTAATGAAGCAAGGCTCCACCCACACCCCTATTTGAAGCATCCACGGACAATATGACTTCCAAATCGTTATTAAAGCATAGTAAGATAGGTTCTTTTCCGATTTTACTTTTCAACTCTTCAAAGGCTTCTTCCTGCTCATCTTGCCATATAAATCTTTCTCCCTTTTTCAATAATTTATAAAATGTTGCCGCTATCCGTGCAAAACCCTCCACAAAACGGTGATAATAGTTTACCATTCCCAAGAAAGCCTGTACCTCCACTTTATTATTAGGTCCCAGCATGCTTGTTATGCTCGCCATATTTTTGTCCAACGGCTTAACCTCCTTTCCATTGATTTTATGACCCAAATATATAACCTCAGACACTCCTAATACACTTTTTTCTGCGCTTGCCCGCAACCCTTTATCCCTGATTCTTTTGAACACCTCCTCCAATCTTTGCTCATGCTGTTCAGGAGTTTCTCCCATTACTAATACATCATCCATGTAATAAAACACTCCTTCTAGACCTTGGAAAACAGCTGCCATTGTTCGTTGAAAAATCGGAGCCGACACGCTAAGTCCAAATGGCAATCTACAGAACGCAAACAATCCTTTCGGCGTAGTAATGGCCAATAGACGCTGCACCTCTGGCTTCACCCGCAATTGTAGGTAGGCATTTGAAAAATCCACTTTTGAAAAATATATACTTCCTTTGAGACTGGCTAATATTTCCTCAATTCGCGGCAAGGGATATTTCACTTCCACCACCCACGGGTTTAACGTGACCCGAAAATCTGCGCATAAACGGAGCTTTCCATTGGCCTTTTTCACCGATACCAATGGTGTCGCCCATTCGCTATATTCTACAGGACATACTATGCCCTTTTGCACCCATTGATCTAATTCCTTGTTTACTTCATTTCGCCATTCAAACGGTATTCGCCGTAACGCACAAAATTTTGGTACATGTCCCTTCTTTAATTTGATATCTACCTCATAATCTCTTAGGCATCCCAAACTTTCTTCAAAGATTTCCTTATAAATATTCACTAATCTTCGCACTCCCTCTTGCACCTTTATTATCGCAAATTTCATTTCTTCATTTCGAAATTCCTCGTCTTTTTGTCGCCCTGTCTCTTTCTCCTTCATTATTATTTCTTGATTATATATTCTTTTGGTATTTCATTGTTTCATACCATCATTTTCCGACCATTCTTTCTGCAACTTTGTTTCACCCTTTGAAATTTCATCTAGTTTTACTTCTAATTCTTCATTATCATTAATTTCTTCCTTCCTTTCAGCATCCTCTCTTCCCTCATTTCTCCTTAAGTCGCGACGATTAAAATTCCCCTCGATTTCTCCTCTATAATTCCCCCCGATATCTCCTCTTCCACCCCTTTCTCCCCCCAAAAAGGTCTCAATTCCAGGTAATTTATCTCTATACCAATAATTCATATATTGATTTCTCTCATCTCTTTCAATAGTTACAAATATACCGCACCAAGCAAATATACCCCAAAAATTACAATCTGGACCTATTCGCGTGATCCAGTCCCATCCCAATACGGTCTCTATTCTTCGATTAATTATCCATAAATCCAATATCTCCACTCTATTGTCCAACATCACTTTTAATTCTACTCTTCCCATCACGGCTACTTCTGATCCATCCAACTGCCGGATCTTGATGTCTTCGCTTTTAATCATTCCCTCCGACCAAATACTCCGAAATTTCTCATATCCCATCACAGAGATAGCTGCCCCGGTGTCAAATAACATGCAAACCATATTCCCATTCAAATTAATCCATACTCTAGGGCAAGGATCATGCACTATTTCCTCTTGGATCATATTTATACATTTCGACTTCTCCCTTTTATTCCCATAATTAAATTTTTCCATTTCTTTGACCCACCGCTTCTCGACCTCTGTGGTATATCTTTTGCTATCATATAGTCACAAATACTGACATTCTCTCGCCACATGTCCTTCCTTGCGGCATCAAAAACATATATTATTTAAACTTTTATTCTCCGTTAAATTGAATATTTCTATATCCTTATTTTTCCCGCTTTCAAGAATTCTTACATTTGGAGCAATTTGAGCCATATCTCTCTGTGGAAAACCGCCCCTTGTATTGAAATTGGCAACATTGCATTCTTCCCTATTATGACCAAATCGTCCACAACCCGCACAACGTAATTTATCACGTTTTCCCGGGCAATAAGGAGCTATATGTCCATATTTTCCACATTCGAAACATTTCGTTTCTTGGCAATCTCTTACCATATGGCCCTGTTTTCCACAATTATAACAATTTAGATTTTCTCTTCCCCGTGGATTAAAACCTGGCCTTATTTCCATTCGTCTTCCCTGCAAATTTTCTCTTGACCATCTATATGGCCCCAATTGATTGTTATATCCAGACCCTCAATAACGGTCTCTTTTTTGCGTGTTATCAATCCTATCATTTATATTCAACTCTCCTAGGCTACTATCAATTCATCCTTTAATCAATTCCTGTCACATCTTCTTCTCCATTATGTCCTTCGATGGTCAATGTTTGTCCCTTAATTCTTACATTTCTACTTCTTCTAATTCGTCTTCCAAATATTAAACTACATACCCATATTACTAAAATGAGAAGTGCTCCCAGAATATTATACTGGATCTCCCAGTATTTTATGAATTTTAAGCTTTTCATAACCAATTCACAAGAAATTAACTATAACTTTTATAATAAAAATTTTTATCACTTGGAGAGTTAAGAGATAAGATATGAATAGGACTGAGAATATTCCTATAAAGCACATATACATAAATATAATGACTAAAATTTATATATCACTACTATTCTTTGTATGATATTTTAAACTAAACACACTATTCTGTGTTTACTCTGTTTCAAATAATTAATTAACGAAAATTAATGTAAAATAGCTTTAAATTTCAACAATTTAACTAATAATTTCACACTACTGGTATAAATGTTTAATAAACTAATATTTATTCCAAAAAAATTTGTCTAAATTTATTTACAATAGCGACTTATTTGCTTTAATTATATTTGTAACAAGCGGTTTATTCGTTCTAAAAATATTTGTAATAGCGTTTTATTCGCTCTGATAATATTTGCAAATATCAAGCGACTTATTCGCTTTATATTTTTTTAAATAGCGCTTTATTCGCTCTAAAAATATTTGCGAATCTCCCTCGTTTTAATCGCTTCAATTTTTTTTGTAACAGCGCGTTACTGGTTTTAAAAATCTTTACAAATCTACAGCGTTTTATTCGCTTCAATTTTCTTTGTACTAGCGCTTTTTTTGCTTTACTAATTCTTGTAAATTTGACAGCGGTTACTCGCTTCAATTTTATTTGTTTTAGCGCTTTTTCCACTTTATTAATTTTTGTAAATTTCATAGCGGTTATTCGCTTCAATTTTATTTGTACAAGAGTTTTTTTCGCTTAAACAATATAATTTCCCAACGATTTATCGTTTCAATTTAATTTGTATGAACGCTTTTTTCGCTTTAACAAGATTTGTACCGCGATTAACCTCTAGGTTCTGGTGTTCAATCAACACGGCACCAATTTCTGAAGTACCAATTTCTTAAGTAAAAAAAACAAAAAATATAAATTAATATACGGTTTTTATTGAATCTACAATAGCAACATATCACAACGGTTATTAAATCTACAAGGATAATTTCCTTAATTACAAAAACATAAAAATATAAATTAATAATTATAAATTTTTTTAAAAAAAAACAAAAACTCTTCAAATTTCTTTTTTCAAGGTTTTTATAACCCAACATAATAATAATGACAAAATTATAATATTGATAAAAAATAATAATATTGACAAAAAATATTGACAACAAAAAATATTCAAAATGACTTGCTATAAAAATAAAAAAAAATATTTACAACAATACATATCATAAGAAAATGAATCTTACTCCAATTAATATAATACATATCAAAAATTTTTACCTAAGCATTTGCATTTTACCTTGACATTTGCAGTTTAGTCTAGTGTTGTTAAAAGGTCGAGGGTCTGCTCAATTTTTTTTCAATCTGGTAAATTGCTAAATTTTGGGAAACTTATTAATGTGAACAAAATTATAATAAGAATATGTTGTTTTTAAAGTTTTTCGAATTTTTTTGGCATAAATGGGCTAAAATAAGTATTGCTAACATGTTTAAATAAAATTTTAGTGAAGATGTACCCTCGATAAGTGACAATTGTCATAATCGTTGTTTTTTAAAGTTTTTAAATTTTTTTGACGTAAATGGGCTAAAATAAGCATTGCTAACATGTTTAAATAAAATTTTAGTGAAGATGAACCCTCGATAAGTGACAATTGTCATAATCGTTGTTTTTAAAGTTTTTCGAACTTTACATAAATGGGCTAAAATAAGCATTGCTAACATATTTAAATAAAATTTTAGTGAAGATGGACCCTCGATAAGTGACAATTGTCATAATCGTTGTTTTTAAAGTTTTTCTAATTTTTTTGACGTAAATGGGTTAAAATAAGCATTGCTAACATGTTTAAATAAAATTTTAGTGAAGATGAACTCTAGATACAGGGTTTCCCGTTCAAAAAAAGAAAATCGTAATTTTTTATAAATTTTTTGGCAATTTAAACTTTTATTTATTTTAGTTATTCCTTTTTAATTTATTTCTAAATTTTTGCGATTTCTTTTTTTTTTTTCTTACTGTATCTTTTTCCAATTTATTTCTAACTTTTTGAGATTTTCTTTACTTTTATTTTTCTTACTATATCTTCTCTAAATTTATTCTTCTTCAATTTATAAATTTTAGTGTTGTTAAACAGCTCATTTTGAGTCGATTTTTTAAAACGGCTAACTCAATATTTTAGCTTGAAAATATTGTCTAAGCCTCGAGATTTCGATAATATATGCTTAGACCTATGTTCTTTCTATGAGCAAAATCTTCAGGCTTGCGTAATATTTTTCTGAATGAAATATAGAGTTAGCCGTTTTTAAAATCGGTTTAAAACGAGCCGTTTAACAACACTAATAAATTTAGGTCTTTTAACAATTTACGTTTTTTTTCATCATACATAGAGATACAATATTCTTTTTATGATTTTTTCATTTTAATCTTTTACATACATTTTTAACCTTTTCAATCTCGTCATTTTTAATCTTTATTTTTTTGAGCATTTATCTATTTTTTCTTCTCATTTTTGATAATTATTTTTTAAAAATTATATTTAATGTTTTTGACAGACAATATAATTACAATTGCTAAATTAAAATTAATCGTTTGGTTTACCTTAACTGTAATACCAAACGATACCAAACGATATTTAAATTAATAAAATATAATCATTTTTTAATTTTTATTTTTAAAACGCATTAGAAAATTTTAATTATTTATAACAATAAGGAAGATAGACTAAATAAAATTGATTTTTTTTAATTTTAGGTTACTTTTTATATAAAAAATTTAGAAATAAATTTGTTTTATTTTTTGCTTATAATGAAATTGCATAATATAATATACATAAAAGTATGATTTTCTATTATATTAATATCCTTTATTATAAAATAAATTATCAGTGGTAGTATTTTTTATGCTAATACCTACCACTACCAAAAAGATAGCTCGCTACTTTAACAACTCCACATTATCTCTACCTTCATTAGATAAATCTAATTCTAATATAATATCTAGACCTGTGCGCCGATGTCGCATCTACTACGGCTATTTATAATTTTTTCATCGGGTTTTGCGGTGTGCGGATTTTGCACCGCCTACTAAATTGTCGGCGACGGTGGTACGAAATTTATTTAAAAAGTTTTTTTAATGAATTTAATTTATAAAACAATGAATTACATTATTTTATAATTTATAGGCGCTCTTTTCTAACACATTGTTTATATGGTTTAATTCATTATTTTAACTATTTCCTATCTCACATCAATTTACATTTATGTATTTTATATTCTGACGAGAAATAATTATCTTATATTTCTTAGACAATTAATTTTTTAATAATCATTTTATTTAAATTTTAAAACTTTAGAAAATCAGTTATTCCTTTATTGTTTATAGAATCAAATGACATTAAATCTTTGCGGCAAAAACATTATCGCCCAGGGATGCGATCCCGGCAAAATTTTTACCCAGGTTTGGTTAGCGGGTTTTCTCCTCGAGGTTCGGGTTCAATTCCTTGTTTTCACCCCATTAGATTTCAAATTTATTTTATACATTAAATAGATATTTAAAAAACACTGTATCTAAAGTACATCTTCACTAAAATTTTATTTAAACATGTTAGCAATGCTTATTTTAGCCCATTTACGTCAAAAAAATTTGAAAAACTTTAAAAACAACGATTATGACAATTATTACTTATCGAGGGTACATCTTCACTAAAATTTTATTTAAACATGTTAGCAATGCCTATTTTAGCCCATTTATGTCAAAAAAATTCGAAAAACTTTAAAAACAACGATTATGACAATTGTCACATCGAGGGTGCATATTCACTAAAATTTTATTTAAACATATTAGCAATGCTTATTTTAGCCCATTTACGTCAAAAAAATTCGAAAAACTTTAAAAACAACGATTTTGACAATTGTCACTTATCGAGGGTACATCTTCACTAAAATTTTATTTAAACATGTTAGCAATTCTTATTTTAGCCCATTTATGCCAAAAAAATTTGAAAAACTTTAAAAAACAACATATTCTTATTATAATTTTGTTCACATTAATCAGTTTCCCAAAATAGTAATTTACCAGATTATATCAAAACACAAAAAAAATTGAGCAGACCCAACGAGTCAAATATACGAGCAGACTACACGAGCCGACTAAGCGAGCCAGGGGCAGACTGGCCATAAGACCTTGTGGGCATTTTGCCCACGAGGCCGCGAGAAAATGTAGATTTTTGAGGCTGATCAGTGGAAAATATCAAAATAGAGGCCGATTAGAAAAAAATTATTATTATGTTCACATTATTTTCTCTTATCATTTATTTTTTATATGATATCTCTATGATTTGAATACTCACATTCCTTGAGAATTGTCATGTCGTTTACTATATTTTAATGCATAATATATCAATAACATCGCTTGACGCTACACATCATTACCACGTTCTTTTCTTTGTTTTTTTTCAAATGAAGTGAAAACGCTTCCGGTTGAGTAGAGTGAAAGCTAAGTTTTGATAAATTTATTATATTATATTTTTATACATTGATTTATTGTAGAAATAATATAGCCAACATTTCTTGTTCTTAATTCATTGAAATCAAATAAAATCCAGGTCGTTGAATCAGATAAAAGGATGGATGCTTGGGTGAAACAAAATAATACATCT